TGTGTGTGTGTGTGTGTGTGTGTGTGTGTGTGTGTGTGTGTGTGTGTGTGTGTGTGTGTGTGTGACGGACGCTGACCTGCGAAGTGAAGAAGCACAGCTCGCTCTCGATGTTCTCGTAGATGTAGTCTTCCTCGCAGGAGAAGCTCCGTGTTCCTCCACCAAACTCGGGCTTCACCGCCTTCCTCAGTCCCATTTCCTCGGCTCCTCGCAGCAAACTGCGTTAACATCGGCACAAACCTTACGTCTTTTATGATCTTCACATCTCTTATCAACCCACCCCCTCTGAGTCCTCCTCTTTTCGAGTCACACAATTTTACCTCCTTCGTGCCCTCCCCCAGCCACCTGCATCCCATCATATATTTCTGCTCCCTTTCTCCTTCCCTGCAGCGTTTTTGTTCCCTGGTCGCCCTCGTATGTGCACGACTGGAGCTTTGCCGTTACACTCATCCATCATGCAGGTGCACACATAAAAAGACAGTCCATTCTGAATAACCTTGTGACAGACGGCAGCAGAAATGTGAGACCTCGCCACAGAATAAACGCTACTCTGTGCACAACACAATTTATTTCATTTCACACCGATCCAGAGTCCGACCCTTTGCTGTGGCCGGGAATCCCAATGAGACATTTCATTCTCTGATTTAATTAAAAAGTTTGACCCCCTGTTTCCCAAATACAACCAGTCTTGTGTTGAATCGGAGTCAGTTTGTGGACAAAGCCAACCTTGTAACGGAGCAGAACACTGCTGAGAAAGTACATTGCTTTTAAGTTTTATGCTAATTTAGCAGACATAATGGGTACTACTGAATCTCAGCAGAACAAGGCAGAAGCCTGTAAAGTGCACAGTCAGCAGGAGAAATGAGTAATAGATGTGTCAGGTAAGGGGAAAAAAAGCTGGACATTTGTAATACAAAATAATTAGAAAAGCTAAAGTTGTGTTTTCTACTGAAGTTGTTCCAAAGCAATTGATGACACGCGTTATCTAGATCCTAATCTTATCTCAACAATCTCTATTTTTGCTATTATCTTTTATCCCGCATCAGGTCACAGAGACCAGAGATGTTCAGACCTGCCTGACCTCAGTTCCCCCTGCCAGCTCCTCTGCAGAGACACAGATGGGTTATAACGACAGCTGGGAGATTATTACTGTCCCAGTAAACTCTGGGTGTTCCCCAGAGACTCCCCAAAGTGGGAGTTTTCTAGAAAAACTCCCCAGAGAGGCATTTAGACATCATTGCCGAAAGGTTGAACCACCTCGAGTGGCTTGCCTTTGGTGCAAAAGAGGAAGCTCTAAAACCTTTTCAGAAAATTACACTCCCAATGTTATCCCAACTATTGCACCAACTGGAAGTCAGTTTCTTATTATGTTCAATTCCTCATCAGGAACAGGACMTGAAAATCTTCTAAAACTATACGATACTAACAAACGAGGACTTGGAGGTGCTAATTCTCATCCTAACTGCTTTACATTTAAATGCTGTCCCTGTTGGGAGGTCCCAGCAAGACCACATATTCTACAGAAAAAATGATATTCAAAGCTGAGTAAACTGTAAAACCTCAGTCTATTGTTTAATGTCATGGGAGCCCAAAGTCCATAAACCCTCCAGAAATCTGAAATTAATCTTAATGTTGCCAAGACAAACCAAGCTCTTCAGGTACTAAATGTTCTGTAGCCAAGTGCATGACACCACATACTCCTTAAACATTACCACCTCATTCTACTCCACACTGGACAGGATCATCAGAGCTCTTTAAGACGGGTTGAACAAACTCCTTTGGAGGATTGCCTTGTGAGCAGGGGCAGTTCTAGGGGAGGGGCCACAGCGGCATTGGCCCTAACGTAAATGTGATTGGCCCCCTGAAGTGCTCCTGTTCTGTCACTCATCTGCCCAAAAACGATGGTGGTGGCTGCAGTTCCATGTCCAAACACTAGTGGTGCTAATGAATCAAACAGGGACCAAGTTCTCAAACTGCGGTCCCAGGATGTCTAGGGATCCGCGAGCTGTACCTTGGGGGTCCTCAAAAAATTACAATA